ACAGGAGAAAAAGACAGCGGCTAATTCAAAGAAGAATATCAGAACAAGAGAAANCAACGTGCAGGAAACACAGCAACCTCTTCCAGAAGTAAATAATAGTAGCCACCTAGAAGATGACCGCCTTATTGCTAGAGCAAGGGCAGTTGGTGTGGACTATGAGTTTGCAAAGCCTGGTGAAGTGGAAATGGAGGATGACAGGAGAAAAAGACAGCGGCTAATTCAAAGAAGAATATCAGAACAAGAGAAAAGGTTGCGTGAAGTTGTTAGAGATCTACCACCTCATCCACCTGCAGGGTCAAGTCAGCAAGAAGATAATGCATACAGTGCTATTCGTGCATTTGAGGTGGAGCAGATGACTTATGCATTCTTTTTTGTGAGGTCTGCAAGGAAAGGCGACTGGAGTACAAGGACACAAGAAACGTGTACTCGCTGTAGAAGAGATAAGATGGTGCCAAAGGTTTGGTCAGGTGAGAATAATATGGATCCAATGGCTGTTCCTGAGATTTTGTCTAGATGTCAGATGCTGAACAGATGCTGATAGCCAGGCTAGCACCCAATGTGCATGTACACCTACTGAAGCATGGAGGTATTGCCTCAGAGGGACATTGCATTGCTTTCCCACAGGCTGTGCAAGAACCGGCCCCTATTCTTCCACGGCTACCAGCAGAGGTGGATATCATACGCGTGAGAAGACAAGGAAGAAATGGTACCCATAAGGACTTCAGGGCTAGAAGACACCATGTTGAAGGAGCCCTTCGTTGGCTCAAGGGCAACAATCCTGCTTATGGTGATGTTGTTATTGATGGCGTTCGCATAGAGAATTTACCAGAAGATGGTAAGTTGCCGAATTTGAGGACAGTTGAGTTCTCTGAAACAGAATGCTTAGACGACCAAGGCCCTGCACCACAGCAATTGGATGTTGGGGAATCAGACGGTACTAATGACTCAACAGTCTCTGGAATTATTCTTCCTGAGCCTGGAGTGAATGTGCAAGCACAAGTAGAAGCAGCCATAAATGGAGTTGTTTCTGAACCTCGGGAAGGTGAGCCTGAAGAAGCACAACGAAATGTGCAACGACCAGTGATCCCTTGGCCGACCATGGGCACAACACCAGCATCAGAGTTTACCACTCCCTACTTTTCTACGATGGCATTTCCTTGCTGGTTTCCCTATGGAAAGGGTAATTTCCACATAAACTGTCCGGTGACGTGTCCCACACTGCATAACTGGGCAGAGCACCTGCTGTGGTACCAAGACGGAAGGTTTGCGAGACATAAAGTCTGGAAGTTTGTGGTCCACAATATGAGCATGAGGAAGCGTGCCCTGGAACAGACGCGGTTCTTTGTTGATCAGCAACTTGGTGACCCACAAATAACTGTTGCAGACCTGCAAGAGCGACTTTGAACTGAGTGGGCTAGCACTTTGGCGATGTATCCGTCCATTTACCTACTTGTCAATGTCAGGGTCAAGGAGACTTGAACATGATGGTGAAACTGTAACTTGCAGCACCCCACTGGATAAGTACCTTGCACGACCGCAAGATTAACACTGTTCTTGGTACCACTTTGCATTGAAGAACAGTAAGTTCCTGTTGCAAGTGGTGGTTCTATGCATGCAACATGGCCACTGAATGAAGACTACTGTAGGACCATGCTCCTGTTACACTGGCCAAGCTGGTTTGACATCCAAGAAGTGAAGGGGGACGCTGAATCTTGGATTGATCGCTTTAAGGACTTTTTTTACAAGTGATGACTGTCCAACATTTGTGAAGGCCCGAGTTGCTAAGGCACAGCGGTTTGCAGAGTAACCACAAGAACCAGTATTTGAAGAGGATGAGGAAGATGATCCTGTTGAAGCAGAAGAACAGCCAGACTGGGTGGATGTATATGCAGGGGAGAACCAAATGTATGAGGGTGTAGAGAGGGACTTTGATTATGATGATAGTGGGGAGGACTATGACTGGAGCAGTACCCGTATTATTCTCCCTGAAGGAAAAGACCCAACAAAATGGCTTCAAGAAAGCATTAGGGACTTTAAGATCCAACGATGCAACGGTGACAAGAATGTCGCTTAAAAAGTGAATTTGAGTTTTTTCAGTCTTTATAGCGATTATTCCTACCCACTTACTTTGTCAATTGTAGGCGAACCCTCCTGAAGCTGAATTTCAAGGGACCATATTCAAGCTCAGAAAGAGAAATGAAATTTTGTCGTCCCTTGTTTACGTCCTCCATAAAACGCGAAATTAGGCATTTTCACATCGTAGTTGGCAAAAACGGGAAAGAAATGTACAAAAAAGTGTGATGCACGTGCGAAGTTGTTGTTTTGCTGATTAAATCTATTGTTTTTTGACATTCTTGTTGTCGTCTGCGTCGTTGGATCTTAAAGTCCCTATTAAAGCAGATGACGAATGAGAGACACAAAGTACAGACCTCGATTTACCTCAGGTGTGTCCATAGTCTCTAAATGAGAATCAGAAAGCCATAGTGGGGCTTGAGCTGTACACCCTGTACAACTTTGCTGAAAACACTGAATATTACCTTCCACTGCGGCTTGCTGTCTCTGGAACTGCTGTCATAAAGTGTCTCCAGAGGTTAGTGCGGCAAATTTTTGAAGCCAATGATGCAATACAGGTGATAACTCCAACGGGGAATGCTGCCTATCTCGTTCAAGGCAGTACAGCTCACAGCTTTCTTGGAGTACCAACAGGAGGAAGGCCTCGCAATGAGTTGACTGTACCTATGGGTCCCTTACTAGAGAAAATTCAGAAAAAGTGCAAAAATCTGAAAGTTCTGGTTGGGGATGAACGTTTAATGTTTGGACGCACAGCAATGGGCTGGATGGAACAGCATGCACGTTCTGCAATCAAAAAAGGAGCCAATGCAGATCAGTTACGGGGAGGGATTCCTGTGGCAGTGTTTATGCAAGATGATGTTCAGCTTCCCCCTGTGTGACACACCCGTGTACATCTCAGATTGTCATAGTGCACCATCTAACCACGGTCGCTTGGTTTGGACAATGTTTGATAGCGTTGTTGAGCTTACTCAGATAAAACGGCAGAATGAATCTGAATAAAAGCTGAGAGATGTGCTGATGTCACTAAGAAATTATACGACAACACCCCAGCAAATCCATTGTCCAAATCCAACAGTTTCAATGGCACAATCTACGCATGTCACATGGGCCAGAACTCCATGG